TGACGGTCACCAATTGCTTTATTGTTGGCTGAAAAGAAAATATATAAAAGTAGTTAAATTAAGTTATCAAATTACTTTAATTGTTTCTGTAATCACAAATGAAACTATCTAAACACACACGACTGGTAAGTGACTAATAACGTATGTACCTGCGTCTTTGATAGAACTTGTAATTCTTTTAAATGCGAAACACAAATGTGATGTAATGTAGCCAAATCTCTTGCTGTGTCCGATACGCAACTCTTATTTCTTGGATCTGCACCTTCTGATTCTGGCTTTTCAGTTACATTCTGTACACAACGAGTCGTAAGTTAGTACTAATTCAAATTTCGCAGCTGCCACTCGAAGATGACGATCAACACTTACCGATAACTGATCTAGGAAGACAACCATTCGTTCTTTGTTTTTCAGAATGAATGGGTTTACCACTTCCATGTACGGTTCTTTACCACCAAATTCTACCAAATTTGCCAAATTTTGTAAACATTTTGCTACCATTACTAACGATCTGTAAAATTATGAATTAGAAGTTAAAGAATAATTTATGAAAGTTACGTTATCTTACGTTAAATATAGACCTACCCTACCTTGCAGCGGCTGGAGGTGGTGGTTCAGCTATTAAATTAAATGACCTAGGATTTAATATGGCAGGGCAAAGTAGACGTAAAAATATAAATCCACTGACTACTCTCGTTCTGACTAGTCTTTCGTGGGGCCATTTGGCAACGACTGCTCTTTGCAAGCATCCACAAATATATCTGAGAGTCCTTGGACAAGCGTCGGGACTTGTGAAAATGCTCAATGTTACTTCGTCTAAAACCTAAAATATCACAGATTTCAGATAACGGTTATTCACGACAGTTCATTTACAAGTCCATCGGATTTACCTGGAGCAAAAATTCAGCGTTACTGCATGCATCTTCCGGAGAATCCATTTTAGTTGGATTTAATTCACAGCTTTGTTTACTTTCAATTAGTTTCACTATCGTGTCACGTAAAGCGGCCTTCAAAAAGGAAGTGCAAACTGATTTCATGTATAAATCCATTAAAGTAGTTGTAAGGCTGGCAGCTCTAAATAATGTTGGTGTTTCATCTTCTTTGTCTACCTAAATGTAACGGAAAATAATTGTAATAAAGGCAGATACATCATAAAGTCACTTTTACACAAATATAAACGCAAAAATACTTACTTCCGCTTGATTCAACGATCTCAGTAAATCAGCTTCCTTTCTTTCGTGCCTAAATACGTATGTATGCATACCAAAATATTACCAATGAAAAAAAAACGAGACAATAACATGCTGTACATTAAAGGTTGTCGCACGTACCTAAATATTCTAAGTAAACTATTTGCCAGTGGTACTCTATCCAAATGACATACATCCGCTAATGCCCTAACGACATGTAATTCTGGATCTAACAGTAATTGTTGCAGGGGACTGTATTCGTCTGGAGGCATGGCCAAATCGTGCCTGTATCTGTAATTTAATGATTGCATAAAAATAAATATAATACGTAATGCAAACAATGTGGATAAAACAGTTACGCTTATCACAGTAGTAGTACATACCTTATACGTAAACGTAACACGCCCCATTCTCCTATCGGAGTAACTCCAGATAACGGGTACCATTCGTCCATTTCTTCTCCGTTTGTTAAACTTGCCAATTCGACTGTCAACTCTGCAACCTCCGTATCTTTGCTGCGTTTACCTTTGTTGTACAACGTTAACGAGAACGACATAACATCCGGTGGTACATCCCTATTGAGTAATTTACAATTAAAGCAGGCGGTTTGTCAACGAAAAACGATAATACCTAAAATGACGAATCATATACGTACTCCAAAATGAATTCTTCGTCCCAGATTGGGTGTAAACCAGTCTTAACCTTGGTACGAGCAACTTTTACATTATTTAGAGCCACTATGATGAAGGGATTTGGTACTAGTTTATATGGGAGTCTATGTGCATCTAAAATATGGAGATGTAATGAACGCAATTCGCGAAGTCGGGCAACCTTCGGAGCACGTGTAAGTTGTGATACACATAATGGTTTTAAGGCATTAATCCAATCTAAAGCATTCTCTGAGTTTGGAGCTGCCAAGTATGTTATTGTGGCCAAACATGGTAAAGCACGTTCAACTAATTGAAAGCAATGAGGTCTATCGAATACACTTTCATGGACCTAAAACATCTATACTTCAGTAACAAATTTCAACAATAATTTGGCTACTATACTTTCATCATGCATACAATTCTCAAGTAACCATTAGACAACATTAGTAAAATTTCAGTTTAAATGATCATAAAAAATTGTTACATGATACTGTTAATTGGCTAAAGAGTTTCATCTACCTGGTATAAATAAGCACAGCTTAAATCTATGAGACCTTTAGGTTTGGTTCTTTTTGGATTGTCATACAAATACAAATGCGTATCTGTAGCGTCTACTAAAAGTACAAAATACAGTGCTTTCCATTTTTTATTTTTCTCAGATTTCTTTTCTAGATACCCTTGCATCTTTATTCCCTTATTTTTCTTTGCTCCGGATTGTTCCCGACATTCTCTGAGCGTTGCGTATATCTTTTCTGCATGTTGCACCTCTCTATTGACTCGCACACTACCGTCCGGTTCAGTCACCATCGCTTGAACCAAAGTATGACCTTCTACTATTTGTTCCTTTCGATACCTATAGACGTAATTATCATAATAACTGAAGCATTCTAGAGTTATGATACGATAGGAAAATATGCTGTACCTATTAATAACAGCATCGAGACACTCGAAAGTTCTGCCGCCCATAAGATATCGTACTCCTTTCTTTTCAATTCTAAATCTTTGAATCTGATTATTTATATGAAAGAAAAGTGAATAATCTCCTGGACTGTTATCCGAAGGTCTGACCTGTATGGAAAATTACAATAGCATCAGATACAAAGTATAAAAACAAAATAATCATTTCATTAAATAGTGAAACGAAACAATTATTATGTATATGAACTCACAAGAAAGCTTCCAGGTCCTGCTTTCACTAACATATCGACGGCTTCACTTTTAGTGACATTGGGATGGAACCAAGAAAAAACTGTATTAGGATCAATGGAATCATCCAGATCTTCCACCAGTTCACGAAATATTAAGCCCTGTTCTCCAGTTCTGTGGGCAGTGACCCATAGCCAACCATCTCCCATGTCATTGTGCACAAAAAATATGTCACCTTTCTGAAAACTTAATTCATCTGTATCAGGCATTTTTGTATATGGCAGTATCGCGACAATTCGTTTCTTATCGTTCACTGGTTCAGGAGGTGGTGTAGGATGTATAAGTCTCTCTCTCTTTAAAAGATCGGAGCAGTGAGTATAATATGCAACGAGGTCTGACAAACTATTGAACTGCCTGCCACCTGAAAGGACATATTTGTTCTATTATTTGACAAACAATTGATAACATGAAGTATTTCTTATATTCTAATTAACCTTTGTCATACCTATATAATAATCTCCACACACTGCAGTAATTCTAAAATGATTAATGCCAGTTCTTCCTAAGTAAGATAACACGTAACTTCCAGGTTTCCGGTCACTTTCACGCACTAAATAACTACCCATTTTGTTTGCATCCCATAGTCTTTCCTCTGCTGTAAATCGGTCTAATCTACCATGATACCACCTATAAGGTATCTATGTATCAATCATTTTACATTTATTTAATATTACATTTCAATAGAACTAATTCGCGTTTATCATTAAATAATATTATCGTTATTTTGTCTTACTGATTTTCTGGAGGAGCAGTTAATAATGTTGCATTGGCGCTGTCAGGTTCCTCCGTATCTTGAATGTCATCTGGAATATTTTCAAGAAATGGATCAAATTCATTTTCCGCATTCATAGATTCATTCTGTCCACCATCTTCACTGCCAGTGCTAGGAGATCCTCCTTTACTATTGTGATCCATCTATAGATATAATTAAATAGAGATAAGTACTTTGTATAGATTTATATTAACTTTTCAACATTAGTTTGTCAAATATTTATATTGTTATATTTGGAAGAACGAAAGGGTATGCTTTTGTTTTCATGCAATACACATCATGATATTCTAGGTAACACGTACCTTTAGTCAACAAAACACGGATACTGTTTATGAATAATTGCTTAGTATTTTTCCGTGTTTTGTACTTTAGTTTATTACGTACAAAGCAATGAAAAATATTGTCCACAAACGATACCAAAGACGTCTTTTTAAAAGTAATTGGGAAATAATACGAATTATGTGAAAATCGAAAGCTTTGGAAATTATTAGATATTTTGTAACGTAAAATCATCTCATTGGTTCACATATTTGATATTATAAATTTTGTTCATTGCACAGTTACGGATGAATAATCCAAGATGAATAATATCGTTACACGTAATACTTACCTTAGCACTGTTCGACACGCTCGGGCCTCCACGCACAAATTCTGCCATTTTTGGATCACACGCACTCCTTTCACGCACACACTTTTATGAACAAAAAAAGAAAATTGTAATATTAATTGAACGGCATCCGTTTTATTGTAATCCTCCTTGCCACGATTATTTACAACGGTAGCTTGTTATTGATATAAAATGTATTGACGTTTCTCGGCAGCCATTTTACTACTGCACGCGGTGGCTGTAGTCTGTATAGTCGGAAAATAGATTTATCTCACTCTCCAACAATGTTTTTAATACTTTGCTAAAAGTTCACGACATGTTTCAGAAGATACTCATACACCGGCATCGGCTTACAGATCGACAGTGCATTGAACGCGGTCACTATTTTCTTAAAAACACTTTTATAGATAATACACCATCAACAATGCACATGTAGTGAGAAAGTTAAACGACTCGCAACATAACGATTGTGTCGTTATCGAACGTTGAAGATAACACGATTAACTGATACCGTTATTTTAATGGAAACACTATAGAAACTGAATATAACTGGTAAAATCAACGCAAGCGGTGACAGTATCAACCGTTTAAAGTTCAAGTTTAACGGTCAAACTTTAACATTGACGTACCGAACGCTAGTTTCTTTTCCAATTCTTTCGCTTGTTGCATACCCGCCGTAAGATTAGTCGACGTCTATAGTGGCAGACGTCAAATTCAATTGCGTTTACATGTGACTTGATTTTGAAGAAATAGTTTGTGAATGTTTGCGTCGAATATCGTTAAATCGCAATGGTAAGATTACGACCTTAATGTCTTTTCAATGAAACTTTAAATGAAAAACCGCGTGATCAAAGAAAGCGGGAAATTGTATCATAACCTAAATGTCCGCCGATTTAAACAATTCTTCTAAAATGTCCGTTTTGGGTGGCATGTAGTCTGCCCTATTTAATTTCCAGAGCCTTTTAACAGTAATTCTGTTATTAATATGTACTTGCACATACGTCAAAGCGCTTGCACCTAGTTTCATGGACAACCGAATGAAGAAAGTTGGGTAAGTTTTCGATTATTTACATAAATGATTCATGTGAGAATGTACACTTAAAGTACACGTATATTATAATAAGAATGGTGTTTATTTATCAGTCTACAGGGTACATTTTGGAAGTGTGCTAGAATCGGTGAAAGGAAAAGCCCATACGTGGGTGTTTGTTGCGTTTTAATGGCTTTCAGCATCCTGTTTTGGTCCTAAGATGTCCATACATGCAACAAAACTGTGAACAAGCATGTCCATCGTGAAATGCGACCGCACGCATGTCTGTTGTAAGGATGGTGGGTTTTAATAATAATAATAATAACAATAATAATAATGAAATAAGCATACCGATTTGCTGTATTCGATTATACCACTTTGAGTTTCAAGGTTGACAAAAGTAAACTTAACGTACAGTGAAGGTAAACAGAAACTGATGTCTGTGCTGGTTGCATGGTATATTTTATTTGTCAACATGTCCTTTCCTCCAAAGCTATATAATTATCCAATTTGAGCACATTGTTCTTTTCGTATTTTCATAATATATTTTTCTCCTATAAACAACAACATTCTTTTAATATAGTTATTGTAAAGTCGTTATATTGAGCAGTGTTTCATGATATACAGTATCTGTTAAATAGGTATATTTAACGTATGCGATTTCGTTTGTTTACTTCACGGATATGCTACTATTCCGAAGACAATATACCACGCACTGCGACTAAAACCTATACTTCTCTGTAATAGAAGACATTCACGAGAATTGCACAATATCAGTAGAAAGCTTCGACTTCCTCCGTTGGAAAATCTAATCTAACGAGGACTGCCAAGCTTCTCTACTAGCACCATTTTGCACATCGATCCTAATTACAGAGCGAGATATGGTTTGCGGTTTTGCGAGGAACATTAAAAAAGAAAAAGACCATTCGAAACCGCAATCTGTTATTAGGAACACTTATTGTCGATTCCTTAAAAGCAAACTATACTCGGGTGTAAGTAGAATAGATCGCGGCGTAACATGTTGGCGCGGTGTCCGCTCGCGTAGAAATAAACGCACGTACGAATGAAAAATACAAGTTGTACTAGATTTGTTGAAACTAGCAAGTAATCGTTTATTTCAGGTAAATGTCTCGCGCGTCCGATATGATCCGCGATACAGAAAACAAATGTGTACCACTGACGCCTCGGTCAGTCACTCGATCGAACTATCCGAACTATGCACGGCGATTCACGGATTCCTCGCAGTGAACCACGCCGATTACGTTTATATCGTGGTCTCGTTTAATTATTGGCATATGAGGTACGTTATCTGGCTACGGGTAATTAAAAAAATACAGAAAATAATGAAAGTAGGGTCTAGTATCTTTCTAAAATATACAGTATACGGTACTATACGCCCTACGGATATGAATCTGGCTTAGATATGATTCGTTTACATTCATCGAGTTGTCACTTACACGATCCCGGTTCCCTTCTTTATCGTACCGTTGAACAAACGTATCTTATTATCCCTTACGTACAAATTAGTATGCTAATTATTTGTCTGCGTTCGAGTGTAATCGAATAGTTGCTTAAGACGGGTCGACCCGCGCGGCACGGCGCGAACCTTACGGGAAATGGTAGAGATACTTAATTAATCGTTGACAATAATTATCACGTAACAGCGTAACGGTATACATACATATTAGGGGCTGTTCATTCGAACTGGATCGCCACTGCCATTGTTGAAATAATTTGAAAATGCAAACGCGAGTGATCGGTCCACGGTATTCCGATTTCTTTTCCCCCCATGACTCTTCCATGATCTCCGTAATTTCCGTGATCTCCATAATTTCCATAATTTCCATAATTTCAGAAATGTCCGTGTTTCAGATATCATATCCTCGTGTTTTCGCACGATTCCCTCGTGAATGACACTGGTGGCCCACTTGAGATAGACACCCTGCATGTGGTAAGGCTTCCGACGCTAACATTATAAAAATCACATCGTAACATCTAGTAACCCGACAAACGTGAAATCAGAGTTTCAATTGAAAATCCTGGCCTCCTTCCCCATTCTTTCGTCTCGCTTAAAAAAATATTCGACAACGTTACAACATTCAGTCCAACCGACGAACACGTCCCGCTCACGATTTCCCCCTTTTCTCCTTCTTCTTCTTCTTCTTCTTCTTCTTCTTCTTCTTCTTCTTCTTCTTCTATTTCTTCTTCTTTCGTTCTTTCTTCCGCGTTCAGAAACGGACAAAAGGCTCATAAAAAATACCCTCGTAAGCGTTTATCTCTTAAAATTTGCAACAGTTTTCGTCAACGGTTTTGGCCCGCGACTCGAGAGATCGATTTGCTCGGTGTGTCGTCGCCGAAGGAGCTTGGCTGTGATCGCGCCTCGTGATCGCGGAACGCAATGGAAGCAACTTCCAGTCCGGTAAGTTCAATGAAAACTTCCCAGTTCGCGACTTCTCTCCTCCCGATCGTTTCGTTCGGGAACGACGCGGTTGGAAACGCGGTCGGAAGGCGGTGGTTGCGCGTGTTCCTCGCGTTCGGCTGCGGATGACGCGGACTCGGGGGAGAGACCGTTGTCCGAGTCCGTCGAGTACGTTTCTTTCCTGACGCCTGCGGTACAGGGCGACGAGAGTCTATCGCAGGCTCAAGTAAAGGATCATGCAGAACGCGCAGATTCGAGCGTCGATCGGCGGCGTCGCGTCGGCCCGGCTGTTCCCGGCCGCGTTCGGTTTCTCGCGGCTCTTGAACAGGTTTTCGTCTTTGATGAAGGGCGCCCGTGGGTCCGGCGTGGTCGTCGTGCTCCGCTGTTTCCCGTGAACGATCCTCGCGGTGCTCTTCTGCATCGCGGGCGTGCTCATCTGGTGGAAAACCCGGTTGATCGTGCTCGCTTGGGCGAACTTGGACTTCGCCTTGCTCGGTTTCTTCGCGTTCGCCGGGCTGCTGGCTCGCGTGGTCGGCGTCTCCTGCTCGTACTCTGAAAGGGAATTACTAAGAGGTTTCGCAGGGAGGGAGGATAGTTCGGTAACGGTTCGACTCACCGTGCACCCTAAAGACGGCTCGGGCCGTCCCCATGCTGGAGGACGCGGAACACGTGTAGGCTCCCGTATCGTTCTTCTCTAGCCGCTTTATCTTGAGCTCGATCGTTGTCTTCCATTCCTCGTTCGGGTCTCCCCGCTCGTTGATCTCGTATCTGCCGCTGCGTTGACATATCGGTTAGGTTCGCCTAAGCGCTTACGCGCGTCGAATCGATTCGGCTTGCTCGTCCGGGAACGATAGGCTCGCGCCGGACGGTAAAACCGAAAGGATCCCTCGGGAAGCACCTACTTACGCGTGCGCGCGTGCGCGCGTGCGCGCGTACGCACGTACCCGCTCATGATCACTTGACCCTGCTTCGTCCACAAGTTGATCGTCTTCGGATAAGCCTCGATCAAGCAAATCAGCGACACGTTCGTGTTCAGAGGGGAGCTCAGGAAATCGTTGGACGCCTTCACGCTGGGTGGGACTGAAAACGTTTCCCGAATAACAAAATAACCTAGTTTCGGATCGCGGATCGCGAGCTCTTTGACGCGAGTCCCGGCTAATAGCTTTTTCATTGGTGTTCCTTTCAAAAGGAAAAGTAATATCGGATAAACAGCCGGAACTGCTAAACGACGCCTAATTGCGTCGGCAACGGAACTCTTATTTAAGTTTCGCGGACCCCGGTAAAGTCTCGTGATCGACCGTTCAGGAGTACTCACAATTTACCCTTAGGGAGACTCTCTTGCTGACTGCCGGAGGCACTTCGTTACTGGCTATGCAAAGATAAGCCCCCATTTGCTTCCTGTTCACCCTGGTGAATTCCAGTTTCTCGCCGGACTGGTTGACCCCTAGAAAATCGCGCATCGTATGAATATCTTGTCGAAAGCTCTCGTATACAAATCGCTGGCCGCGCGCCAGCGTTCGCGCGTACACCGAATTACAGGGAAATACGTTCTTTGCGTTAACAACGAGAACAACCTGGCCTCCATTGGGCGCTCCCTAAATCTCCCGCTCGTGAATCCTCCTCGAAACGACTGGTCGGTGCCCGTCGTTTCCTCCGAATCGAACGCGCACCGACGAGATTTCGAGACGAGAACGTATTCCCGACCGTCGGATCAGTCTAGACGCGAGCACGGTTCTCGATTCATATTCACCGATCACGCTCGACCATCGACTGTGCATTACACTCGTCTATCATTCGATCTTTTGTTTCATTCTTTAACGCCGTGGCGACCTTTTCCTTTCCGTGCTGTTTCATTTTACGAGCGATAAAGCTGCTCGGACCCGCCGTAACATTTGTCCCGTCTACTGGAAAAGATTCTAAAAACAAATGGTACGGCGACTACGCGGCTGCACGAGGAACACTCGTCGTCGGCGACGGGTATCGGCTTCGACGCGACGTCGCCGACGGATCGATTCGAGCGAGGAATCCGAAACGATGCTGGGAAATACCGTACGTGGTCGATGAATTTCTGTTAAACGCGCGCGAACGGGTCGAGGTTGTTCCCTGATAAAAACCAGCTAGACTTACGAATCGACTAATAGTATTTTCGCCGAGTTAACGAGCGATTCGACCGCAGCGCGGCTATAGAAAGAAGGACGTCGCTCCTCGTCGAGTCGCGCCTCGGTCGTTGCACGGCATTATCGTTCAAGTGTACGCGCGTGGCCGCGACGTTTCAGCGACGTTTCAGCGACGTTTCGCCGATCGATGGAACGCGATGAATTGCATTAACATCGGCTGATCGAACGACATAAATCATCGGTTCGTTTCGCGATTCGGATAAAACGCGTCGCCCGGCCTAATGAGATCCATCGAAAATGGAAGATTCATTATTCGCTCGCGTCAACGGCTCGCTGGCTGCCAGTCCGCGGATACTTTTGTCGCGACGTCGACTACCCTCGAAACGCTGCGCGCGGATTCATCGATACCGACCAACCGTTTATTCGTTTCACCGACGAACGCGTCTAGCCGATTAACGCGCCGCCAAAGAAGTCGAGATTCTTCGCAGACGGTGCTCTCCGCCAGCCGTTCGGTGATCGTCCCGTAAAATGAACAAACTTTGCGTTGTTCGACGCGTCACCGAGAAAATTCTTCTTTAAATCGAAACGTCGACGAATTTGTCGAACACCGGCGCGAAAACTTGGAAATCCCAGCGACGAATCGATAGCGGGGCTACCCGGGGGGAACATCGCCGCGAAATACATACTCGAATTCTGCGAGTACGCGGAGAATCATGGCGCGATCGCGCGCCCTCGGAAGATATTGAAAGTCATCGCGGACAAACTAATCCCTATTCGATGGGACATGTTCCAGCCCGTAATTGCTTTCGATCGGAATCGCGCGGTTCCCCGCGAATTTACGACGTCTTCATGTCCCGCTAAGCGGATCGTGATGGCGAATCGTCTCGCAGACACCGTGGATAATTAGTTCCCGAAACTGCTCCAGCCGGGCTGCGTATCTCCGATTCGAATTTTAATTACTATTCGATCGAGCGCCTCGTCTCGCCTCCTCGCGGAGCGTCGGTTTTCGGACGACAGGGAGAAATTGCTGGGAAACAGAGGGAGAAAGAGAAAGAATCGCGACGAGTAGCTGGAATGAAAAACCAACGTTCCGATTAACTGCGTAGATTACGGATCATTCGAAAGGCGATCATTCGTAAAAACACCGGTTACCGGATCGGTTGGGGATCGGTTGGGGATCGGTTGGGGATCGCTTGCGACTAATTCGAAGCCGCCCTTGCCGGGTACTTCGCATCACCTAGCAGACGATTACCTGGGCTATGTGGGTTGCTGTGGGTTACCGAGGGCCGAATTTGATACGGGTTACGGTTAGAATCGCTGCTGCTGGATGAACGGATATTCGAGGAGCGGTATTCGAGGACGGGTCCTCGCTCCCGGGGAGCCAGCGCGACGGCGACGCCGGGAATTAATAAAAAGAAAAGAATCGAACGTTGTTTGTCATCGACGAGGGCCGTCGCGGTGCGACGCGAGAGTTCTCGAGCCGAGATAAAAGTGTAATATCTTACCTGATATCAGCGGATTCTCGCGTCGCCAGTGCACACGAGGTGGCGGTCTTCCAGAGGCGTTGCACGAGAGGGTCGCGTTTTCGCCCTCCTGAACGGAGACCTCACCCTCCGACGTCCCGGAGCTCAGTATATCCGGCGGAACTGAAAAGGCCAATTCGTTTCGTCACTGTACGCCGCGCGATATCGCGGTTTAACCCCTCGCGCTGCAAATCAATTCAGACACTTGACAGAGAGTCGCGCGAGGAATTCTCCTTTCGCCCATTTCACGCGGATGCGTGCGCTAATCTCCTTTATTAATCATTCCGCGCGGAGCGATACGCGTTTCCAAAGAATCTGGCGCGTGCGATGCTACTACCGATGCATATAAGACGCGAATAAATCGGGGCGCGCAACAGGGTTAACACGATCGACCGGCCTCGGCTTCTCGACGCGCTGCTCGCGCCCTCGAGAAGACGAATCGAGTGGAAATTGGTAAAACGCGCGCCACCGGAAGTTCATTACGCGGCCAAAAACCGGCGAAACTTTCGCATTCAATTTGAACTTTGAGTTTGGAGGCGCGCCCTGTTCCCAGGGGATCAGGCGTTACGCGTATTTGCACGGTTGCACCGGAATTCAGGGGAATTCAGGGGAATTCAGCGGAATTCAGCGGACGGACGCGGCGCGAGCCCTGAACTTGGCGCACCGCGGCCGTAAAGATTCGTCGAAACGGCCGCGTGATCCAACGGCCGGTATTAAGGTCGCTATGGAAATTGGTCTCCGCGCTGCGAGCGGGGCGAAATCAGGTTAAAACGTCTCGCTCCCGTGGAGAGTTAAATAGCGTTTACCGAGCTCGCGTTATCGAAAGGGAACACATTTTTGGGATGAGGTCTTGGTTCTTTTGAACGCGCGCCGCCGGCCGAGGCCATTTCAATTACACGGCTTCGACTTGGACAAATATTCCGTACACCGGGCAGGGTCGGGGTCGGGGTCGTGGTCGTGGTCGTGGTTGGGGGTCTGGGTCGGCGGTAGAAAGGAATAAACGAGAGACCTTTTTCCGTGCGAGCCCACAAAGGAATTTCATTCCATTCGGTCCGATCGGTCTTTCGAGTCGAATGCAGCGGTAGGCGCAACGCTCTCAATGAATTCCCTACCACCCCTGGTGTCCGCGCGCTCCGGCGTGCACAATGAATCGCGTGCACGCGCTTACATCAGAGGTACAGAGAGCGGCGGTAATGTACGCGCCGCGTATACGTGTAATGCAGTGAGGACGAGGACGAGGGCGAGGACGAGGGCGAGGACGAGGACGAGGACGAGGCGGAGGGCGAGGATAGAGGACGCGGGATGGAGGATGGAGGCGAGGGAGAGGGTGCTATGGATACGCGCGGATGATGGAACGAATAGAAGGCGAGCGGGCAATGGTCCGGCCGGGTCCCGGCCTGGCCGGTTCCATTGAAACGTATTCCAGCGGCGGCGCGGCGGTGGGCGAGCCGCGCATATTTTCCACCCCCTTCTCGAGGCAGGCTAATCGGAAGCGGTGCGTGCGTACGCGACGTCTCTGCGACCGACCGCAAACACACGCCGCGCCGTACCTAACCCACCGCGTAGGAATGCGGCATAACGCGCAATTAGGCATACCTAGGACATCCACGCATCCCAGCTGGCTCAACATGGGCTTCGTGTTCAGTTGGCACATGTAGCAGCCTCGGTCAGCTTCCCGGAGCTGTCGAATATGCAGCCGCGAAGTGGCCTCCTCCTCGTCCCTCGATTGGCTCTGATTCTTCGTTTTCGCGTTCTCCAGCGTGACGAGGAATCGAGGCGAGTGGGTCACTTTTTGCTGACCCATCGACAATATCGTCTGATCCTCCATCCGGAGCCACCCCACCTGAGACACGGAACAAAAGCTTTGCGTTTTTACCAGCAATCGCGTTCGCATTCGCGCAAAACGGAACGAACGGCGCGCGCTGCACCCCCGTGCATGCTCGATCGCGTCAGCGCCATCACCCTCGCGTCGCGACGCGACGCTACGCGACGAGAAGCGGCGCGTTCCTTCGCAAACCTGGTAATTATCTGGATGTTCTAATTCGAGACACGCGTAATGCCGCGCCGAGCGCTGCTCGGAACGGGGCGTGCACGGACTTGATTAAATAACCGTTGACGAGAGAGCGGAAGAGGCGGAAGCGGAAATACGGCGCTGATGATTCCAGGCCAGATTGTTCTCGCTCGAACGTGAAATCGTCGAGACGAGAATCGTTTTTCGAGCGAGCTCTCCCGGCGAGCCTCTCACGCTTTTTCGTCGCCGGAAAATGTCCTTTTAACGCTGGGAGGACCGGGCGGCTCGGACCGAGCCATTCGTAACTTTCCTAAAGTACGTCCGAGGCGTGGAGTAGGATATCGGTTTGTTTCTTTTGCCGGGCGGTTCGTACGTGACCGCGAGATGATACGCGCGCTAATACCACGAGTAATCGTTCAAGTAGCGCCTAAGGAATTACGTCCGAGCAGCGAGAACGTACACCTGCCGTGCGTGCGACAAAACGACGCGAGTTTATGGAAACTTTTAGGTGGATACAAACTTTGGTCTCCCCGCGTCAAAGAAGCTAAGAACAGCTAACACGGTTTCGCTGTAACGCGGTTACAGAATTAGCGGGAAAACCGGAGAATTCGAGGGAGAACCGTAGAGAAATACGCGGATTCGTATCGCGACGGTTGCAGAAATCATCAAAGGGAACGTTAACGAGGAAACCAGAGCCCGTCTGCAGAAAATAGACTACGGAAGTAAAACAGCTTTCAATCTGATTGTTCTCTGAAAAATCATCGTTGCGCTGGGGCCACGCTAATCTTCCCCGCAGCGTTCGAACGTCACTGTACGTACCGTCGAAGCAAGACAATTTCATCTCCCACTGCTACGATTGTTTCAACTTTTCTCTTCGAAAGAGCGGCTAACAACTCCCGATACACGACAAACATCCGAACAGCTTTTCATCGAAACCTTCGGACGTGAAGGGAAGATCGAGATTTCGAGATAACCGGTTTTCGAGGAGGGCCCGAAGGGACGTGGACGTGGTCGTGGACGTGGACGTGGCCGGTGATCGAGCTACCGAACGGGAGGGAACTCGAGACGGCGCGATATCGCGCGTGTATCATCCTCGTGTCTTGTCGAGCGATTCCGCGAAGCTAGACGGGCGCCGCGTCGAGCAGCACGTACGGCCACCGGCAGTAATTGCTTTTAGACAAGCTCGAACCGGTTTGTATGTCCCTGCCACCGCAGGAATCACCCTAACGAAAGGTTCAATTTAACGTCGTATCGCAGACCCTTTGCCCCGCAGCCTACTCCCGCATCTCCTACGCGTTATCTATAACGCTGCACTTGCTAATTAATCCGAAGCGACTGTCGTGCGGCTCGTGCGCTTCCCCTATGTCCGCCTATGACGCCCGTATACCCTCGGCCGGCCGATGACGCGAGCGCGCGAGAGTACGCGCGCGGAACTCGGATCGGAGAACACGCTCGAGCGATCCGTTTTTAACGGGACTCTAACCCCAACGAACTCGGAGCTAATCGCGGGCACGCGCGGAGGTTCGAGGTCTTTCTCCCGGAGATAGCCGTCGTCGACGATAACCCGCCGCCGCGAAGAATAGGCCGAGCGGAGAGGACGGACGGTCTCGCGTTCGAATTCTTTCGTTCGCCGGGGACGACGCAATCGATAATGTCTCGAGTAGTTTGTCACGGGGAACAACTGTTTGCCCCGCGCGGAACGGGGTCGGAAATTATTACGTCGCCTGCAGAGTCGTAATCTCGACGACAAAGATAACGATTCGTTCGATCCGGTTCCAGGATAATGCTCGGTCGTCCCGCGGAAAACGAATTCCTTATCCGATAAAAAGCTGCAGCCGAATCCTGATCGGATATCCGGGGGAGCCCGGTGTTTTGCATAATTTCGGTCGGCGCACGATCATCCGAGCTCCGAGGTTGTTTCCGAAAGGGAATTCTTCGCGCGCGACGTCTACCTTTTCTGCCGGAAACGGCCGGAACTCCGGCAACTCCGGCAACTCCGGCACTCCGGAGAATAGACGACGCGCGTGAGATTCGAACTAGCCTCCCCGAAACGCTTCGTCGCAGCCTCCGTCGACGGATACGCGCGCTCGTTACGCGGGCTGCGTGAAAGCTCGCAAATTGTATCCGCGAGTCGCGTCGTCTCGTCTAACCCCGGGCGAGGCGATTTACGAGTCTACCGGTATCCCGAGCACGTCCCGCTCCTTACGCCGGGGAACGAACCGCGAGGTATCCCCGGGAAATCCTCAGACAGGTTCGACGGCTGACACACATTATCCGCGGAGTTACGAAATTCCCCGGTGGGTACGGTGCCCCTTCCAGTGTAATATTTCGAGAGACCCTGGGCCACGAATCTACGTTAGCGCTAAGAGATTGCTCCCCGTACCCTCTTCCTGGGCCAACCTCCATCCCTCTTCCTCTTCCGTTCCATTGTAATCATGGAAACAATCATTCTTCGCTCTCCTTCCCGCCTGTGCTCCTTCGCTCTAACCTCGACGATCTCGGTCCGTCTCTGCTCGTTCCCCTCCAGCCGCGGTTTCTCTTCTCTCTCGGCCTCTCTCTCTTCGTTCGCTCTCGGAAAACTCGCATCCCGCCCCTCCGCCGCCACTGGTAGCGCCGCCGCCGCCGCCGCCGCCGCATTCTCGTCCCGTCTCCGGTTCCATGCTATCTATATCCGTCCATCTTTCTCGTCCTCTTTTCGCCTCCATCTCCATCACGGATTTCGGGCTAAAAGCTCTGTCTTCGTTGCTCCGGCGGGGCATCGCGGCGCGGTCTCTCGGTGGTGTGGCGAGCTACCCTTTCGCTCGCCTCCGCAGCAATCACCGATTTGTCTGAATAAGCCCCGGGCAAGTATATGCTCGTGCTTACCCCGGGGAAACACCACTCCGGCCAACTCACACCCGTCGTCTCCGATCCACTAGCCCCTCCCCCGCCGCCGTGCCCCAACGGCGAATCCTCTCTCGACATCAGCCCCCTGTACTTTCCTATTCTGGTCCCCACACCCTCGATCGGCGG